TCACTGAAGTTGTTACTTCATACATGCCGTGCTACGGAGTGAGCTGTTTTACTTTGAACTTGTGAAACTTGAATTTTGTGTGCGGGGGACTTCTGTCAACTGCAGGTTTTCAACCGTCGATGTTTACATAATCTGTCGCAGGCAGTGCGAGACGAGCTGATTAGCAATACTGAAAAAAGCTATATTTAATTCTGTATTATCGCAATGCAAAGGCTGTTTTCACCACAAATTCGTCTTATCTAGACCTAATATTCTTCTAACCCATCGCACACGGATTGAAGAATTTACGTGGAGGTCAGCAGATGGAATGTAGATGAAGTGTGAAGAATTGAACGAAAGTGAAGATAAAATAGTTGGCTCTCATTTTGCAACATTTAACGAAGCTTCTATAACTGACTGATTGGAAACGCAGAAGATTAGAATAGCAAATCAATATCAGTGACGTTTATGCTTTTATTACCTGTCACATCAAAATCTTCTTAGATGTGCACACATGAATCATTTATGAACTCCATGAGCCGACCACAGTTGTGCCCAGTCTTTTCCCCTCTCTCTAAACGAGTCCACTCCCCTCCACTTCATACATCGTACTAGCTTTCTATTCATAATGAATCCATTGAATAAAGAACTTTCATCGCAAATATATATATATATATATATATATACGGTAAGAGAATTTCCATGTGTGCGTTACATAGTTTATGATTAGTTTATGAGAGTGTGGTCGAGCAGTTGAACTTAGATGTCGTGTTCTAATGAAATCACCATATTTCTCTAACTTAAAACAGTATATTAGTGCTATATATGAGATGTGATTATAAAAGCCATACAGAAACCAAGTTCGACGGCCACCTTGTCGTTTCCAGCAGGACTTGCGATTTTTTGATCTTTCAGGTTTATTCCACCGTAGCAAACCGAAATCTGTTGGTGTGCGTTGCTATGAATTTGTTGTCAATTCTTCCACAGTGACTTTCAGTTTAGTTATTGCAAGTGAGACTTGACCTATAGCCAACGATTTAAGTTTGAGAAAATCGGAGTTACGGTTTCATGTGCATGAGTAGATCATGAAACAATTTCTTTCTTGTGAAGATTATTCTACCGTTATTTGCCTGGCACAGTGGGAACTCGGAATCGTGTGGAATTTATTTTCATATAGAATAAGTTTTAATTGACTTTGTTCACATACCGTTTTACCAAACTGGAATATTTTATCATTAGAAAATATCTTTGAAGAATTAGAATGGTAAGCCTTTTCTATGGATTCATCCCAAAATATAATTTAACTGAGTGAATGACTATGGTGATCTGTCTATTTAATTTGTGACTCATCATGTTTCTCTGAAATTACAGAAGAAATTGATTTTGTCTTCTTGAAAAGGATCATGTTTACGCTGCATTAGTTTCTATATTTTTACTGACGAATGCAGAGAAATGGACGCTGCATTTAAGCGTAGAATGTCAGTAATAGAATAACATTGTCTGCATATAATTATACGAGTATGCCATACGAACTAGACAATCGATTCAAAGGTTCACAGAAGGGTATCTCCTTATCGCAATCGAGTTCTGTCGCCATCCGTTAACCTGTGTAGATTCTGCTGGCGTGGACGTGTTACGTACACGACCGGATAGAATCAACCTATGTTTGCTATTTGTAAAAGTAGAAGTTGATTGGAGGAAAGGTAAGGATGACCAAACTGTGATCTAGCATTTATATATGCGAAACCGACTTATTGAGCTCGCAACTGTAATTCGTATTAGACTTTCTGATCAGAGTCCCCCAACTTAGTCTGATCATTACTTGAATTTATTGAGTGAAATGGCCATCAAATAAGCGAGTATAACCATAAATTTTTATGCGCTTCTTTTTTAGATGCCATCTTTCAATACCTAGGAATATACACTTACTGAACGGGACACGAAGTTATAAGTTCTCAGTATTGAGTCACATCTTTTCTTCGTGCTATTCATCAGTGTCTTCGGTTATGTATGCACTGGACAAGGCTCCTTCGCATTTACCACCGCTGACAGTTGTAAACGGACCTTCAGCAATCATAGGACACAACAGTGGTACAGGAATTAATTCAACATCCAGTTCAGCCGTGTTTGGAGGAAGCAATAACAACTTGAAATCCAGTATTAACATTTCACAGCTTTACGACGATCGCCAACAAAGACAGTACGGAGAAGCATCGATTGTTGCAAGCAACTCCACAGCTCCGTTGCATTTACCCAGTGTTTCCGTTGGTCAACACAACTCTTCGACCACTCAGACAGGTGTACGTTCGGGTGCGTCTGGTGTAAAAGCATCTGGAAGTTCACCGCAACTTAACGGAAAAATGGACAGTCACGGCAATAATTCAAAAACGAGAACACGAGTGGCGGTTGGAGGTGGCGGCGGTGGTACTAACCTGTATCAGTGTATATCTAATGGTGCTGCCCCGGGTGGATCAACGAATCTAGGTGTTGGTTCAGGCGAGGCTCCCTCTACTACTACACACTGTCCAACTTCAAGCAGTGTCTCCGTTCCAAACTTGCTTCCCAATGGGGGTTCTGGAAATGGCCTTACACCTGAAATGGCAATGAAATTGTATGTGCACAAGCTCACACCTTACGAACATCATGAAATATTTGGCTACCCGCAGATTTATTTTGTCGGTCACAATGCGAAAAAGCGTTCCGGTGTGTTGGGTGCGCCTAATAATGGTGGGTACGACGATGATCAAGGGTCATACCTCAATACAGCTCACGATCACGTGGCCTACCGTTATGAAGTTTTAAAGATATTGGGAAAAGGCAGTTTTGGGCAGGTCGTTAAAGCTTATGATCACAAGACGGGCACTTATGTAGCTCTCAAAATGGTGCGAAATGAAAAAAGGTTCACTCACCAGGCGGCCGAGGAAATTCGAATTCTGGAACAACTAAAACAACAGGACAAGGACAACACGCGCAATGTTGTGCATATGTTGGAACATTTCACTTTCCGAAATCACGTTTGCATGACTTTTGAACTTCTCAGCATGAATTTGTACGAGCTCATCAAACGGAGTAAATTTCAAGGCTTTCCTCTTCAGCTGGTTAGAAAATTCGCGCACTCAATTTTAGTTTGTTTGGACATGTTGCATCGGAATAAAATAATTCACTGTGATTTGAAACCGGAAAATATATTGCTCAAGCAGCAAGGTCGAAGTGGAATAAAAGTAATTGACTTTGGTTCCAGCTGTTACGAGAGTCAACGTATCTACACGTACATACAATCCAGATTCTACAGAGCACCAGAAGTTATTCTGGGATTTAAATATGGTTCAGCAATTGACATCTGGAGCTTTGGCTGTATACTGGCTGAATTGCTCACAGGTAAGTCGTGTTAACTATTCTGTCACCATATTTTGCTTCTTATCTAAAACTAAACTTCTTAATTTTTACATCTTGGGCCAAGGAACTTTCGTGGTATGTTTTACGCGATATTTCCGCTCATTCGCCATAGGAAGTACTGAAGTACCAATGAAATGTAAACCTCGAAAATGAACTGGGTTGTTAACCATTTACTTACTCTCGTATTGAAATTAATTGAGCTTTTCGATCTAACTTAATCGTTTGGTGTCGTTTGAGCAGTAACTCCAAAATGCAACAAAGAGATCAGTCAGAGTCACTTTTATTTTGTTCAGTTTCTTGTATTTTCATCTGGATTTAAAATTAAGGAACTATTTGGATACCCAGACTGTTTGTTTATTGACTACACTAGACGCTCATAATAGTTTTCCTCCGTATCCATATTGCAATATTCTGTTTTATACAACGGGTAATTGCAATAGTGGAATAGATCTTACTCGGACTAATCTGAATCCTTGAAAAATATATTAGCTACAATTTGGAAAGAATAAAGTGGTGGAGTTTGAATTTTGGAGTTGTATGCTAGTTAACTTATCGAGTAGGACATAAAATAGCGCTAGAAATTCTGGATTAGAGAAAGAGTAGCACACAAGAGAATTCGGAGACAGTGAACGTTAGGTATTCTGATATTGTGTCCCGGGAGAAATTTCGATAGGTTGTTAGACGTGTGATAAAAGAAATGCTAACCAGAAATGTTCAGTTCAGTTCAGTTTGTACAACCATTAACCATGCACTTTCGTGCGCCGGTTTTAGCTGCTCATTTGGATGAAGAATGGGAGAAGACAGGAAAGTTGAAGGTAGAGTCGAACAGAAAATAAAGTTTAGTGGTATACGATTACAAAAAAATTGAGGAAATTTTTACGACACCCAGCCATATCACTCAGTGTCTCTAACTATCGGGTACTATCAGCCCGAGGTCCCCAGTCAGGGAGCCTAACGGGACCTATGTGACCCAGACTCCTGGTCAGGGTTTTCATACCCTCGTGCCAGGTCTTAACTTGGCCATCCTTGGCTTTATTCCAACCACAACCTGCCTCGGCAAACATCGCTCCCCGTGGCAACCTATCTGGTGACATGCGTAGCATATACCCCAACCAACGTAATCTATGAAGGTCGACCACTTGCTCCAGTGGGCGACCGCGGTTGCTTAAGACTTTGCGCCTGAACTCAGCATTTCTCCTCCGGCTGCCCCACTAGAATCGTGCAATGCTGCGTTCAAACACCGACAGTCTATCTTTGTCCTATTTTCTTATTGAACAAGTTTCTGCGCCGTATAGCAGAACTGGCCGAACTGCCGCGGCATACACTCGACCCTTTACAGACAGCCGGATGTCGCGACGGCGCCATAGATGTCTCAAGTTGGTGATTGTCAACCGAGCCTTTTGTATGCGCACCGACACTTCATCCGTGGTTCGTCCACCGGGTGAAATGTAGCTATCCAGATAACAAAACTTATCCACATGCTCTATTACGTCACCAGTTGGAGTGAACCTGGGTGCTGGACCAACCTAGTCTTGTAGTAACGTTTTGTACTTCGAAGGTGCAAAACGCATACCGAACATGGCTACACTGGCATTCAAGCTGTCCAAAAATGCTTGCAACTTACCTGCATCCTCGCTTAGCAGCACAATGTAGTCTGCATACTCTAGATCAGACAGCCCGCCGCCTGGGAGTAAATCGATGCCAGTAACCTGGCACGAGGATAGGGCTGTCTCCATAATCAAATCTATAACAAAGTTGAATAGAGAAGTAGAGAGAGTAACCCTATTGAACACTACTTTCTGTGATGAACTCGGGAAAAATAGTGACGTAAGACCGGACTCGACTTCGGCTATTAGTATAAAGCGATCGCAACGTTGAAATAAACTTCTTGGGCACACCCTTCAGAGAAAGGCAGCGCCAGAGTTTACAGCGGCCTACTGAGTCGAAAGCCGCTTTCAGATCGAGAAAAACAGAGATGGTGGGTCCACGAAAGGAATGTAGATTCAAGCAAGTCTTCACTTTCACTTCAACCACCAACCAGGCTTGCGTAGTTTTTTGCTTACTAGATTTGTCAGTGAAGGTAATGTTTGTAATGAATTTTATAATTAGCACTGGTATATAGTGGCTAAGGGCAAGCGGTTTAACTTTCTGTCGTTAGCGTGTTCTGTACCCATCTGTACACCATTCAGCTTTAGCGGTAGGAAGCTTGTCATCTTCTGGTTCAATATCGCATCCATCCTGTTGGGACCTTATCAGATTCAGTAATACAAGTTCCAAGGGCTAGATTGCCGGTTTTTAACTAGGAAAAACCATTGTTCCCTCCATTTTACTAACCTTTATCCAATAATGAGTAGTAAACATAATCGTGGATGCATTTATTAAGATACGCATTTTATCGTGAGAACACGTTAAATAAGGTTATTGGGTTGAGCACCCATTTCTTCGAAAGTGAAAGATCAGTGGTATCAGTATGGCGTTGGCACCATGCTTGTTCACAAGCCGGTGTAATATATATATATATATTAGTGTGGCCTTGTAGCTCCGCTGGTAGAACGAGCGCTTTACGAAGGCATAGGCGGCGTCCGTGCATGGGTTCGAATCCCACCGAGGCTACTGAATGTTTCATAATTTCAAAATAACATTCTCGCAAACCGTACCGGGTTGATAGGACGTAAATTCAAAATTTTAGTGTTCTATGGAACCCAAATTAAAGAGTAGACGAGGAAAATTCTAAATGAAACATTTTCAGCACCTTTGATATTTCTGTTAGCAATACGGGTTTCGAACATTTCAAATGAAACACTTGTAATTTGACCCAACTGTAATGATTTCTGTCGTCAGTAATCGTATGAGTCTTTCGCTACGTAGGCCTCAGTCTCTCGGGTTTCACTTAACTGACATTCCATCCCTCGTGCATAACGATTTAATCACTCAGTCGGGTCAGGGTCGTTTGGTGATCATATCAGTGGATTCCATTTGAGGTTTTTCCGATTGATCGCGCGCTTGGTCTCAACGCTGAGCTGACTAATCACATGCCTACTGTCCCGTCAAAATGTTGACACTAACCTTTGAACAACAATGCCACTTCCTAGCGAGCCGAAGCAAGTGACTAGCTAAAAGACGACAACATTTGTTGTGCGCTGAAGCAGTAAATTTTGAATATAAATGGTGCCAGTTTTGTGGCATTGCTGACCCGTATTGAAATTTGTGTGGTAGAATTCTGGTAAGGGTAAGGTAGCAAATCGGTGCTTACTTCTGTTTATGTTATCTGCATTCTGCGGGTTAAACATTTTCAAGGGTAATTTGTTTATGGTCATAGCTGCTTATCAGTTTTGTCTATGGATGACAGTACATCTTGATGCATTTGATTCGATAGCAATAATACTTTTCCGTTGGTCTGATTCATCGGGTTATTTAAAAAAAAAATTGGAGGATAACTTTCGCTATCATGTATAAACACAACTATTATAATGATTTTCCACGGTTCATTGAGTGAATGATAAAGATACGGAAGCAGATAATAAAATGTTGTGACTATGCGCATTCTGTGATTCTCTTACACCCTACTCATTTTTCGATTTTTTCTCTTCTGTTCGTATGCTGACTACAAAAGAAACCAAAGACATTCACTGTAAATGTGTACAAAATCCTACCAATTTCTATTTTGAGCCATATCGCTTAGAGTTTGAGTGAATAAAAATCAAATGCTAAATGAGGATGGTTTACTAATACCTATTCTTAGCATATCGTCGTAGTCCGAAGATCTACTGTGTACAGTTTACCAACGGATCATATTGACAAACTAAAAACTACACAAGAAAACCCAGCCTGACAGAATTTATACTTGTGTTAAGAAAACTGAATCATCATAAGGTTTCTTCTGTTACGCGTGGATCCTGGTAGCTCCTTATTTTCGGTTAACCATTGGTAATAGTAGTCGTAGTAGTAACACTAGTGATGGCTACCTGTTTATCAATATAGGATGATGTTAATGATATTGATGACGGAGTCACATACCGAGAAACTTGATTCCCACTTTAGGCTGGTTTTATGCGAATGTGATCAGTTCCTATTTGTACGGTTGTTATACTCTTTGTTCTGTTTCGTCATTTTATTTTCGGGTTCATTCGGTGGTGGAAATCAAAGAAAACTTCACATCGCTGATCGTTCAAATCACATTCAGAAGGCTGCATGAGAATTATTGCCTGTTGTCTGATAGAGAGAACAAATGTCAAGGAATGTGGACGCGATCGACGGAACTCAGCACTTAGAAACCACGTGTAGTATTTTACTCTTACTATTCTATCACAATCTCTTATCAATGATATCCAACCTTAGAGTCTTGCGTCTCAATTAGTGCATGCATTGATTCAATCCAGAATCTTAGATTTTGCAATACTTTTGTCAATTATGGTATTTGAAACTCGCCAAGAATGCGAGACGGTCAAATATTCCCTCCATATTATCGTCGTAGTGGGCATGTTCTTGTGGTCCTGATATCGGAGACAAAATATAGACCTTTTGGCTAGTACCACATAATCTTATGTAAATGGTTAAGATGTTCTTCGTTTGATCTAGTTTGATATATTACCTGTTGCGTTGCTTCACAAAGGGAATAACATTAGCAGCTCACTGTAAAGATAAAAGTGGAAACATTTTGGATCTTCGCCATCTCAAAGTTTAAAATTTATTTAATCTGTCACTTTTTAAAACCAAATCGTTAGATCTTGTTCACAGCTCTCAAAATCCAATGAATACTGGCTTCTTCTGTTTGGTTACAAAATTCATTGTCTTAAACAACACAATGTTCATTTGGTTTGCAGTGCTGTCGCTTCACTTGTAAAACAAAACGTCATTGCATGATTCGAAATAATAAAATAACTTATTTCCATCTGTAACTATCTATCTAGCAACGCCCATCTACGAGAATGCACCGCCTCCAGAGAGCTGACTTGTTGGACTGTAAAACTATTCTTGACTCATTGTTCCGTAACTAGAAGCAAGTGCATATTTCATCGAACCGGGTCTGTTGAGTTCAGATCAGCACCTTGTAAAAAACAGAACAAGTATTTGAAATGAGAGTTTTCAATGGAATACATAGTTGCAAAAAAGATGAGCTTTTCTTGAACCGTTCACCGGCATCTCAGTTTGAATTTTGTTTGTTCTTCACTAAGCACGTAACTCCAGCGGTTATTATTCGTTTTTATTGGTATGGCGTTAAGGATCAATGTGCTCGAGTGATCGGACTGTGCACCATACAGTCAATTAAGGTATTGGAAGAAACCGGATGACCTGCCGAGCTTTTATATGCTTTATATATGCTCGGTTTTGTTTTCATGTGGATTCCAAATTGGATTAATTACTTGCCCATTTAAATTGATTCCTAAGCACATCACTCTTTGGTTGCGGAAATCAATTCAAAAAATTTCATCCCTTCCTGAATAGTTAAATCAGCAAAAGGTTATCATTTATTCATCTTTGTTGGTCTTTGGACTAGCATTCTTATCTTTCGTGCCGCAGTCAGTTTAAAATAAGCATTAAAGTAACGTACTACGATTACCGTTAGCTTCAAAATATAGTTGAAATTCTTGACATTCTTTTATTCTGAAATTTTCAAGGGTTAATGACCGATTTGGCATTGATATTTCTACTTGTTGCATCCACCGCCTTTCCAAGTCTGTACAAATATGCGGTTTTTCTCTCGGATTTAGGTTTCAGAACTCCGCAATAGACGGAGATTTTCGAATCAGCAAACTAGTACATATACATTCTCTATACAATCTACCCACACTCTTGTATATGATTCGTACGCTGTTGATACCATTTACCACACATACAAACACTTTCTTCGCCCATTTTGTTATATTATAATTCATCCATTAATTGCTAAAATAAACATATAACGAGAACTCCCTGGATGAAGCATAGTATATAAATAAATATATATAGTGGAAGAGAAAGAGAAAATAAAAATCCACATTATGTGAACTGAGATATGAAGATGGAACATTATGTGAAAAATGGAATCCGTAATCTTGAATAAGCCACAAAAGATTGAGTTCAATTAGATTGGTTGCAAATATCTCACCCCGTCTACTCTGTCCCGTGGTAACATAGCGTAAATTAAAACTAGGCTGGAGTATCACTTGATCGAATTAGCATTATTAATATTTACGCCTTTTCCGAATTTTCGCACGTGAGCATTTCTTCCTTGGATTCATTATTTGATTTCTTCCTTTGACTTTGGCAATCTCACTTAATGCTTGCATTTTCTTTCCTTGAAGGTTGTGCCGGAGAATTTTTGTCCCCCTCTGTGCTTTCACCCTAAACAGACAGTGGAAACCGAGTTCTTACTTTTCACTCTAATCAAAGGAGTTCATCAACTTTGTAGAGAATATGATTCATAAAATGGCAGTCGTACACTTTCTGAAGTACTTCACCTCCGCAGATTGTAGAGGACAAGATGTGTTACTTAGATCATCCCCGCTCATGACATTTTCCAAGGTAGACAGTGATCAGAAGAAAGACAAGGATGGTTAACCAACAAACTTGGTCACAGAGATCTTGTTAGGCTCCCCGGTGGGCATTTGGAACAATAACCGAATCGGTGCTCATAATCACAATGCAATCTGGTTCGTGCATTGACTCCCTTTACTTTCTTATCTGTTTAGTTTCATGTCTTTTCAGATGTCATTCTTGAATGAGGACATGGAAAATCAGCTGCGGCAGAAGGCTTATATTTCAGACGCTTTAGGATCACAAAATCTACAACACTGTAAGGGTACATGTAATCACGCTCAGTGACTTCAAACAAACGCAGTAGTTGGGCGACAAGTTCAACACACCACATAAGAAAATTCACATCATATGGGAGAACAATATCATTGGTCCCACCCCTTTCCCCGTTATCAACGTCTCAAAAAGACGCAATGGTGGGATGGGTAAGAATCTGTCTGTCTCCCGTAAGTCCATTTAGGCAGAGCGGTGCATAAAACTCCTGAAACTATTTTCAATAGGCCACAGATATTTGTTCTTTGGAAATCTTTTTATCGGAACTAGACGGGAACGCATTACGGACACAATCGGAGTGGAACGTGGGATTTTTCTCTCGTATAGTCATCTGTGAACGTCACTGTACATCATATTTGAGTCTTTGCTTTCACTGATTATGTTTTGCTTCACTGGAAAAGAAGCATGCGTTCATTGGGTTGCGCACTTTTTCCAATGAAAGAATAATATGCAAGGCTTGTAACTCTGAATGAGCGTTTTTTTACTTTTGTCAAATTCTGTCGTCCTTTGATTTATTTGACACACTGTCGTTAATGCTGGATCAGATAGTTATCCAAAAAACAGGAGTCGGAATTGGAGTATGATATTTCACTGTTAACGATTTTGTACAAGAAGACAAATCCAACGGTCATCGATTGATGCCTACCGGTAATCATACCCTGATTTATGATTGTAAAAACTGAAATTGAAACGGAAACCCTGACAACTGGAGAACCGATTGGTATTCACCCGCAGTACTTCTGCATGTCCGACAAATCAGTTTATGCAACTAGTCTAGCGAGCTATCACCAATTACATTTGGAAATTCCTCACTGATTCTCCTCAAAAAGTCATCGTTTAATGTGGTTATAGTCTGATCTTTATCTGGTTACACAATCGAGACTTCCCACCTACACTTCATTCTGTTTCATCTAATGGGAGAAACAGCATAACTTCGTAAACTGAAATGTAGGCTTTACGCCTACAGAAGTTACAATTACAATTACAACTGCAGTTTTCAGTTTGTACAACCTTTTACTTCTTACTCCCATGTCTTGGTTTTGGTTGTTGTCTTTCGGCTACAAGTCCGTTTGGCTAATACCGAAAATTGAGATTAAACAGAACAGTAAAAATAATCGCAAGGTAAATTTATGAATCGGAGATGACTTAGATGTGTTTCAAAAGTGAACCAGTCCCCCCTCCCCAGCTCTCTGCATCTAATTCGGATGGCGCTTTCGGGGACACAAAAGAGCAGAAAGACAGTAGTGACTATTTTTTCATGGTACTGCTATTGAACTCATCCTGCTTTATTTGTTATGAAATTCTACAAGTTTGACTTCAACCACTCAAAATTCTCTTATAATTAAAAATATAATGTCATGTAAGTGATGTCTATATTACTTTGCTGCCCATGAATATTAGTCAGTGAAATGGTGGTTTGATACACTTGTTGAACTACACCCATTTAACCCGGATGAAACAGAAATTGTCAGCACATGACAAGTGATAGGGGCCTTATGCCGCGTAACTGTAATTATTATAGCATATTCGAGAAAAAATCATGATTTCACAAGACTGAATGTGTGACCCATTTTTCCTGATGATAAAACTTGCTTTAATAATAATCACCATTTTCGCCAGTTACTTTACAAATGATAGCGCACATATCTGCATATAGTCTATTTTTAAACTGAGTTTTTTTGCATGAACTCTTTCAGGTGCTCCTTTATTCCCTGGCGAGGACGAAGGAGATCAACTGGCGTGTATAATAGAATTGCTGGGAATGCCACCGCAAAAGTTGCTGGAACAATGCCGTCGTGTGAAACACTTTTTCTCAACCACCCACGGATATCCTCGTTATTGTATGGCTACTGATGCGGATGGACGTGTGGTACTGCGTCCCAGTAAGAGCAAACGAGGAAAATTACGCGGAACCCCTGGCAGCCGCTCGCTGGTAACGGCCTTGAATGGTTGTGAGGATGCTGCATTCTTAGACTTCCTCCGACGATGTCTACAGTGGCTACCGGAAGAACGAATGACTCCTCGCGAAGCATTTCGACACGAATGGCTGCGGCGTAGACTACCTAAACCACCTGCCACTGGCAATACCACATCCTCGGCCACTTCCGTGGCAAACACGTGGACACATGCGGCTCCAGTGGCACATGCTTGTACGACGGCCGTTACTGCAGCTGCCACAGCCGCCAATACAGCCACAACTGTCACGTTGAATGCATCCGTTAGTATGCCCACGTTTGGTACAATAGCTGGCACTATACCCACAACGGTAAATAACTTGGCACCAACTACTGGACAACCTCCACGAATGTCTCCTACCGAGTGTCGCTCACTGCACGTTCCGCATTCGACATCAATAGGCTCATTCAAGCCCGTTCCTGGAGTGTCTATTTCTACCCACGAAGGTGGTATGGTGCCTTCAGTGTTGAAGTCTGTGAGCCAAGTGCTTACCAATGTTGGTGCAACTACTGTAAGCGCTGTGGAAAATAATGTTCTGCCCGGTCCTGATTCAATCCAGGATGCTGGTGATCGTCGGCGTACCGCCGATGAGCCTGTGGTAGTCATTGATGCGATGAAGAGGTTGTGAGGCGAACAGTGCTTGTAGGTACACCCCAATTCGGCAATGTGTTTCTCATCAGGAGGTATGCAGTGGCATTTTCATCATTGTCTTTCAGCCATCAATTTCTTCACTTCTTTTTAGCAAGACGTCTTTTTTTTCCATCATGTTGAAAC